GAGACCTGGCAGCCTCCAGTCCTTTGGATACTGGCATTTCCCAGGCCTGGTGCCAGGATCCGGCCGCACATACCCAGGCTTTGCCGCCAAAGCTGCCGAACTCCCGCGCGCGGCACAGGACACACACGCTGTTGCACAACCTCGGCCAACGGCTCCTTTTATTTTTTGCTCTTTTGACACGATTTCCCTGCACTCCCTCAAAATGTCACCGAGGCACCAATGTGCCACACAATCCGAAACGCCCTGCCCTGCTCCCAGCCCCGGCAGCTCTCACAGCAACTCTGTGCACCAGCCGTGCCTCAGTTTCCCCATTAGTTACCTTCGCCCACCAGCGCTGCAACTGCAGCGATACCTCCAGCCCTGCTCACCCCAGGCAGACCCCCAGGGCTCCCTCCCACCAAGCCCGTTACCCAGGGCTTCGTTAAATCCCCCTGGTGCTCAGTCCCACCTGGGAACTGAAGGTGAGGCCAGGACACGGCTCAGTTTGGTGGCCGCAGCTGCCGCATGTCTGCAGGAGCTGCCATCACCAGGTGACACCGTCCCTCGATGGTCCCCAGATCCATCCCAGGCACCAAGACAGGATTGTCCCCACAGTGTGGGAATTGGGGTGGGCTGAGCCGAGCCAGCGTCACCACCCTGGACCTCCAACAGGAGAGAAGGGACAGCCGGATCCTTTCAATCCATCAGCGAACATGGGCACAGACACCAGCTGGTCACCGGTGCCAGGCAAGATGGCAGCTGTGCCACAGTGCCACAGTGCCAGTCAGCTCCTGGCACAGAGCCACAGCCCAGCTCCCCATGGCCCTGCCTCTTCCTTACAAGGGGAGGGCTGAGGCCAAACTCATGCCACGTCTGTAGCTTCAGCCCTGGCCATCGCCCACGCAGCACCTCGCGGGGCCGAGGGCAGCACCCCACGGGTGAGATTTCCTGCAGGATGAGCAGATCGGAGCATTTTACAGCCCCCACACGGTAAGAAAAGGGAACCAGAAGGTGGAGGAAGCAGAAGCAGGCACAAGTCCTAGAACGTCATGGCCAGATGTTGGATCGGAGATGAGCAAAGGGACTTGGGCTGCTGTGAGCGAGAGCCGCGCGGCTCAGCCGGCACGACCTTCCTGCAGTGGCAGCGAGTGGGGGCCAAGCTGGATGCGGTGCCCTGGAAGGGGCTGGTGACGGGATGGGGGTGCAGGTGGGGGGATGCTGCCCACGCACCTCTCGCTGCCAGCAGCGAGGATTTGGGCTGTGCTGGGTGCTGTGATTAAATTCAATTTAGATTAAACTGAAAGGGAGAGATTTCAGTTAGATCTAAGGAGGAAATTTTTTACAGTGAGGGTGCTGAGGCACTGGAACAGGTTGCCCAGAGAAGTTGTGGCTGCCCCATCCCTGGAAGTGTCCAAGGCCAGGCTGGATGAGGCTTTGAGCAACCTGGTGTAGTGGAAGGTGTCCCTGCCCATGGCAGGGGGATGGAACTAGATGATCTTTGAGGTCCCTTCCAACCCAAACTGTTCTGTGATTCCGAGACCCCTGCTCTCCTTCCAGGCAGTGACCCCTGGGACCTGCGTCACCAACTCCGCCTGGCACCCAGCCCTGCCGGTGGCTGGGGACAGGAGCCCACCCCAGCACCGTGCCGAAACACCGGTGCCTGGGTGAGGGGACTCCGGGGACAGGCAGTGCCATGGGGACGATGCCCCATCAGCGAGGGCACGGGGCTCTTCCAACTCGAGCTCTGCAGCTGCGACGCTGAGCCAGGCCAGGGCACCGAGGACTTTAACTGATGGTGGCCACGCCACGCCAAGCCTGTACTGTTTTCTAATCCCAGTGTAATTAATGACCTTATCTTTGGCCAAAGCCATTTAGATTAAGTGGCTGGGG